TGTTCGCCATGCAAGCTGCTGGTACTAGCCACTCACCTCGTGAGCTCCGGCACCTGTCCTACGTGGCTGAATTCACGACGGATCTCCGCTTCCTGCGTGGGGCTGACAATGTTGTTGCTGACGCTCTGTCTCGCGCCACTGTTGATGCAGTAACCGCGCCGCCTGCCGCTGTCGACTTTCAGGCTCTGGCAGCCGCCCAGCAGTCTGATCCCGAGCTACTCTCCGCTCAGCAAGACACGCAGTCGTCTCTGAAGCTTCAGCCAATCCCGTACGGTTCCGCTACCCAGCCTGTGGTGTGCGACATGTCGACCGGCACTGCCCGCCCGTTTGTACCGTTGTCCTTTCGCAAGACCGTCTTCAACAGCCTGCACTCCCTCGCACATCCGGGTATTCGTGCCACTCAGCGTATGGTTTCGGCACGCTACGTCTGGCCCGGCATGCAAAAGGACGTCCGGGAATGGACCCGCTGCTGCCCCTCCTGTCAGCTGAGCAAAGTGACCCGCCACACCCAGGCTCCGCTTGGCCAGTTTCTGCCACCCGATGAGCGCTTTGACCACATCCACATTGATTTGGTCGGCCCTTTGCCTCCCTCCGGTGGTTGCACCTATCTGCTGACCTGCGTGGATCGCTTTACCCGCTGGCCAGAGGCCATTCCGATCAAGGACGCCGCCGCGGAAACAGTTGCCACCGCTTTCATCGCTGGGTGGATTGCCCGCTTCGGCGTCCCATCTGTCGTCACCACAGATCGTGGCGCCCAGTTTGAGTCCGCGCTTTTCCGCCACTTGTTGGCCCTGCTCGGCACCTGCCGGACTCGGACAACTTCCTACCGTCCACAATGCAATGGCCTCGTCGAGCGTTTCCACCGCCACCTAAAGGCTGCTCTGAAGTGCCACCCTCATCCTGGTGCCTGGAATGCAATGATGCCCCTGGTGTTGCTGGGCATTCGCGCTAGCCTGCGCGAGGAGTTCCAGTGCAGTTCCGCGGAGCTGGTCTATGGCACCACTCTCCGCTTGCCATCTGAGTTCTTCCAGCCACCGCCATCTATGCCGTCGGTGCCCGTTTACGTTCAGTTCCTCCGGGATGTATTGCAAAACATCCGGCCCTCAGCCGTTGGCCCTCGCCAGTCCAACCGCCCAGTATACGTGCCGAAGGATCTGTCAACGTGCGACTTTGTGTACATCCGTACCGACAGTGTCCGCAAGCCGCTCCAACCACCGTACACTGGTCCGTTCCGTGTCCTCAAGCGTGCTGACAAGCATTTCACGGTCGACGTCAAGGGCAAGTCCGACCAGGTAAGCATTGACCGCTTGAAGCCCGCATATGCTCTGCCTGTTACAGCTGCTGCTGCTTCTGCTCTTTCTCTGATTGTCCCGCCGGTTGCTGCTGCTGCCCCACCCCCTGCACGTGCTGTTCGCTTTGCTACCTGATCGGCTGGGCTCCTCCGTTCTTTGTCGCCGTGGGCTTTATGTCGGACCTTTTCTGGTTGCCGTGCGGTTTTCATTTTTTTTTCTTCCTTTATACGCTTCTTCTTCTACGTTGCGGTTGCCGTTTCTCTCCTTTCCAAAGTTATCGTTTCCTGCCTCCGGCTTGTACACTGGCAGGGGAGTAATGTAGCGGATTCTCGGTCACATGACCTGATTTACTTCGGTTTCAATGAAATTCTCATATTATTGGCTTCATGAAATTCTCCGGTCTCGCGGTCACACTTATATGTATTACGACCGCTTTACCGTATCAGCATGCGCCGTTCACTTCCGCACCGTATTATCCTTATTTGCATGCGTACTACAGCTGTGTACAACTAGATTCCAGTGCGCCGCTGGCCTTCCCTTTTGGTATAGTTGTACCGTACACCGTATTCAGCAGGCGAGCCGAAGTCGCCGCTCCTTGCCTTTTGCCTTGCTTCCATTATCTCTCTCTCTCTCTCTGGTTGTGAGCCGAACAGTAATGTTTCTGTCCTCTCTGTAATCTAAAGTAACATTAATTATGACACCAGATTCAATCGTTCGAAGTTAGTTCTAAATTCACGAATCCAGACTTTTGTATAGAATTACGTAGCGCACTGCTACAAAACCAGTGCACAAAACTAGATTCGAATTTTTTTGCCGCTGAGAATTATGAATCGGGATGCAAACTGCATGCAGCAAAGTCACTACTGTTTGTAGTTACAATGCTATCGTTCAGAACTGACTTCCAAGAATGTCCTAAATATCTCTCGACATATTTGTTCACGACTTCCTAGGCGTAGACTGTAGTGAGTAACCTTCTGGAGCAAATGACGACTGCCCCGAGCATGAACTTCTTTTCATCCTGTTCAAGGTCAAATATTACTCAGTTTGCGTTGAAGAATAACAATTACATTCGTGAATGGCCGAACTGAGAAAACCCTCATGATTTCTCTTGGATTTCGTATCCCAAGTTCCTCTACTTGGCTGGATAAATCGCCTCTTTACTTCATCATACTGGACTGGAACTTGTAGATAATAGCGAGCAATGAATTGGTGAGTGAAGTATATTTCAAAAGTAATAACCACTCGATTACTGAATAGTAGTGAATACGTAGAATACTCCAGTATTATTATTATATGAACACTGAAGCTAATGTGACATTACAGTAGTACAATAGGAAGTACGTCACCACACTGTTGTAAATGCACGCGCTGATCCTATCCAACCTGACGGCCAATGCAAGAGGTTGGAATTGGCTATTGATTTCCTAACACACTCATACAGCACCAAAAGCTATCTGTCATTGCTCATTTTCAACTCAACATAACACAGTTGCAAATCACCAGGTGCACATCTTGGCACATAATGTGTGCTGTCGCAGTCCACCGCAGAACATAGTAATCCACAGATAACTACCGATATAACATGATGTCACATACATACATGCATGCATGCCGCGGCGCACCCACACGCGTGCGCACACACACACACACACACACACACACACACACACACACACTTGAAGCAGCTGAATAATCCGACTATGCAGTCTCCCAGGCACGCGCACACACACGAACCAGCTGCCGAATCCAACTATACAGTCTCCCAGGCATGCACGCTCGCACACACACACACGAACCAGCTGCCGAATCCACACAAACACGCGCGCGCGTGCGCACACACACACACACATGAACCAGCTGCCGAATCCAACTATGCAGTCTCCCAGGCACGTGCGCACAAACACGCTTATGCGCACGCGTGTGTGCCCGCACACACACATGAACCAGCTGCCGAATGCGACTATGCAGTCTCCCAGGCACGCGCGTGCATGCGCACACACACACATGAACCAGCTGCCGAATCCGACTATGTCAGTCTGCCATGACTGCGAAACCAGCGAAGACATACAGTGCATTGGCTGCTGCCAGACTGGTCTGCTACAGGTTTGCGACGCTCTTGAGTACACTTGTGGCATGGCAGGCCGCTCTTCGAAAAGGAAATGTTACAAATACTACACTGAATCCGATCACGGGATGCCGGCTGTAGTGGTGAAGCAATTCTGAATGCTGTGCGCCACTCTCCTCGCTGCTGTGCAGTGTCGAACCAATATCCTTCAAGATGTAAGTGATGGATGTCCCTTCGGACAACATCACACCAATGCTGTCGGGTTTCACACACACACACACACACACACACACACACACGGCGCACACCTTGTCGACAATTGCGGAATCTAAAACCCACCAACGACCTGAAACACGGATCGCACTGGCCGCAGTGGCTGTGGCATCACCGTGCCCCAACACCAGTAGTAGCCTGGGGTGGTGTCACCAACAAAGGAAAACGCCTAGCACGCACATGCACGTGCGCGCGCGCACACATGCACGCTCGCACACACATGCACACTCGCACACACATATGCACGCGCATGCACACGCACGCGCGCACACACACATGCACGCACCCACACACACAAACACGCGCACACATGCACGCGCGCGCACACACACATACACAGCTAATGGTATACAGTAGTATGTTGCCCGCAAAGCAGCCAGGTGCTCTGGCTTGGACCTCCAGCAGCGCTGGTTTCGCCCTCGCTACTTGTCGTCTTGCCCTCTCCAGTACTGCCTGCAACAAAACATTCCCTTCCGGAAACTCTGGGTGGACCAGTTCTCCGTGTTGTGTTTACACCGTGCTCTGCTTTCACCGGTATGGCATTCGTTGTTCGTATCAACCACTAAGCTCCTGGTAGGTGGCCCCTTACTGGCCTTAGGATGTGGCTCTGGGTTCACTACTACATGCACATCACTGTCAGCAAGTATAGACAAAGCAAAATCAGAGGCACTGGTCTTCTCCAGGTTTGCAATTGCTATCACATGGGTGCAATTGGTGTAGCACTTTTCATGATACCAGCCACACCATTTACTCCTCCCTGAGCTCTTGTGCTGGCAGAGAAAAGCCCAGATATGGTCGTCCTTCTCTCGAGCAGCGCTGACGATGCGACACCAACTTGTAGTCTCGATATTACTCACTGCAGGCTTCTCGTTTTTACTAAATTGGGCGCTGTGACACAGACACAAAATTCCAGCAATATTACTCCGCTGGGCTGTCATTTGCCACTTCGTTGCCGTCAGCTGCCTCATCCAGCACCTCGCTGCCACTAGAAACGTCTTCCTCTTCTTCCATTGTTGTCAAAACAACATCAATGTACACGAAAGGAATAAACTTCAATAAAGTGATCACAATATCCCAAGTCGATATTGTCGTCAACGTCGTCATCTTCTAAAAATAAATTATTTTTCCTCACTCTACGCGAACTCGTGTTTTGCGCTTGCTCATACGACGCACACCTCACCACTCGCGTAAAAATATTCGTTCTCACGGTGGAATTTGGTCGAGAAAAGAAGCCCTCGCGAAGGTCTCTGGATCGGTTCTGGAACGTCCAACAAGCGAAAACGTATCCTTTGTGATGTCCTTGACCAACACTGTAAGCGGCGATTTGTCCATCCGAGAGTGCAACGGCACTTGTGATTTTGAGTTTTGGCTCACGGACTATTATTGCGGATCCTGAGCTTCTTGGCCGAGCAGAAGTCATACAAGCGACTGTACTCATCTCTGGACACAGGCAGATGAACAGAAATCAATGAAGCGCACAAACATGAGAACACTCCGACAGACATGTGTTGAAGACAGCAGTGGAATACGATACAAAGTAATGTTACAGCGGGAAACAAACGACTAATTCTGGATTCACAGAAGCAATTTTGCAATGCGATACGCGATGCGACGGCCGCGAAATCCCCAAATCGCATCCATCTCGCAGCTCAACTGGGCCATCGCAGAAATTGAGTGTGGATCAACGTCCGCGACGTGATATGCGATGTGCGATTTGTCCTTTTTTGCAACAAGGTTGTATAAAAGGTTCAAGAGTTGCTATAGAATTGTAAAATTTGTACCCAGCCACGCGAATACCATGGTGACGTACTCATCTGCTTTGAACTTCGCACCAAATCAGCAAATTGACGTCATATGGCTGACTTCTTCTGTGAATGGTATTTCGCGAGTTCCTCTATGAGACCCTGCGTTTGGTGGCTCGGAACAGGCAATCATTTAACGATATAATCGCACAGGTCACATTGTAGAGTGCAGATCACCTACAGGCTACAGTCCATTCACAAAAAGATGGGCCCTGGCTCTGGCGAGCTCCCGTATTAGGCGATTTTTCAAGATTTTATCGTACACAGTGCAGTGCTGTGAAATTTGAAATTTGAAAACGGGTCCAAAAAGGGTACCTGAACTGGGGTTCGAACCGTACAATGCACTGTTGCAGGCAGGGTCAAACGGCCTGGATTTTGATGAGTTTTCCCAATTCAGTGCTCTTGGGGCAAAACCTGGCCGAAATCCTATTCTTGCTATGGCTTGCTTTTTGGAGAAATAGACTTCAGAAACATAATTGGAAGAGGATTCCAGTCACATCTGGCTGCGGCCTACTACCCTCACTCTGTGTGCTCCTGTCTCTGTTGTCTGGGTCCATGTCGTTATGTCGGTGTATGTGGAGCGAGAAGGGTACCTGAACTGGGGTTCGAACCGTACAATGCACTGTTGCAGGCAGGGTCAAACGGCCTGGATTTTGATAGGTTTTCCCAATTCAGTGCTCTTGGGGCAAAACCTGGCCGAAATCCTATTCTTGCTATGGCTTGCTTTTTGGAGAAATAGACTTCAGAAACATAATTGGAAGAGGATTTCATAGGGGATTGCAGAAAAAAATTCTAAAAAACTCAACGTTTGACCCATTTATGGCCAAAAGCTAGAAGTCCATCTTTTTCTGAATGGACTGTAGTGCTTTCAACAATAATAACGTACTTCCACATTATGGGAATTTGGTATAACCCCACACCCGTCATTGTTGAATATTCGATAATAGCGTGGATTTCCCCAACAATATATTTTTATTTTTTGTTATCCTCTCCCATGCCGTTGTACATAAGCGGCTTGCCGCGGATATGTCAATTCTACTACTACTACTCTATGAGTTCTCGTGTTCTCTGGACGGCAGTCAAGAGTCAGTCGAGTGAAGTAAAGTCGGCGGGAAAAGTGCGAGCTCCAACTAGTGTTGGGAGCAAGTAACTTTCTGATGTTTGTATGTATGTACAAGAAATTGAAAAAAGCATCAGTAACATACATCAGCTTACTTGTCCATACTCTGAAAGATGTGGACAATGTTATTCTTGACTTCTAACTCAAAGTCAAACGACCGATAAGTTCCAGTGCCGCCGCGCGAGAAATTGACGGCGACCACCTCATCGAAGCGCACGTGCAGCGCGAGCTTGTGCACAAAGAGGAAGCCCTTCTCCAGCGGGAACAGCATGCCATGGTTGGCCTTGTAGCTGCAGCTGATGCACTGCCCGCCGCGCTGACTGCACACGTTCAAACACGCACAACACACATACCGTAAAGTCGGGGATAAAAGCCTTAAGGCTTATAAGCACATAAGCCGCTTTCTGCATCAGGCTTTAATGCAAACCAGGCTTGTATGCAAACCATGCTTATATGCACCACTGATATTTTTGCCAGGCTTGTATGCACACCGGCCGATCCGGGCTTGCATAGAAGCCAGGCTTCTACGCGCGACACGCGTAGATCTACCACTGACTACCGGTATGGCGGCAGTTTTACTATGCACTGTACATAGCGCATGCACTCTTGACCTACCCGATCCGCGCTTGCATAGAAGCCAGGCTTCTACGCGCGACAGGCTTATATGCATTTGACCCGTTTGATTTTCAGGCTTCCATCCGCGATGTGCTTGTATGCAAACCTGGCTTTTATCCGCGACTTTACGGTAAACCAAATAAACACACGCCCAAAAACAAAACACCCGCCCACAATCAAACACACGCCCAAAAACAAAACACCCGCCCACAATCAAACACACGCCCAAAAACAAAACACCCGCCCACAATCAAACACACGCCCAAAAACAAAACACCCGCCCACAATCAAACACACGCCCAAAAACAAAACACCCGCCCACAATCAAACACACGTCCAAAAACAAAACACCCGCCCACAATCAAACACACGTGCACATGCAAACCGACAAATCTAAAAGAGCAGTTCGATTTTTACCATTCAAGCATGTACTCTCCGAGACAGCACATCAATTATCATGACAACACATGGTCTGCAACTCAACGGGTGGAAACATCCAACATGATGTACTTAGTGCGTGGTACGTCCAGTACGTGTGCAGATCTCAAGCACCAGTACAACTCCTTACAGGGTTTTAGCCAAAGGGTGTGTGTGTGGGGGGGGGGGGGGGGGGGGGATTTTCGTGTTTCCACGCAATTCAAAGAAAATGCAGTCGAAAGTCACTCCTAGATGGTTCATAAGGGCACATTTGTCTCGGGCGAAGTCGGGGATTCGCGCCATACGTTGCATTTAAAATGCATTTAGCGTTGCATTTAGCGTGGCAGGACAATACTACTAGGATTAGAAAGTGGAAAATGGGATACGGGGTAACTGTGTCCCATGTCCCCTGCCCCCCCCCCCTGCCCCCCTACTATTTTGACCTGGCTAGAACCCTGTCTCATTATACTCTGCTAAGATGTTGTGGCTCACACATACTACCAAGAGTACATAAACCAGAGTGTGCAACAAGATGTTGTGGCTCACACATACTACCAAGAGTACATGAACCAAAGTGTGCAACTGTGCATATCAGATCTGAAACAGCGCAGTTCGTGCACTACGTCACCCCGATGAGGTCAGCCAAGCCGCAACTTGCGTACAGCTCAAATTTTCATGTTTCATAGCCCGGAAATCAGCCAAGTTTGCTTGATTTTAGACGTCCAGTTTCGGTGTTTTGTGTGACTGTGTACGCTGCGTACATCCACCGACAAGTAAAGTCACCAGGCTATCCCAGGGCCGGAGGAAGGAGTTTTGGAGTGGTCCGGCCAACCTTTGAGGGGGGTCCGGGGGACCTCCCCCGGGGAGAAATATTTAAAATTACGTGAAATAGTAAAAGAACACAAACACAACTTTTTTTTATCCATAATCATTAAAGCCATACAGTGCCGGTCATGGAGTCCTGAGCTATTTCGAAGCACATCACACGTCGGCAGTACAGTCGAGCCATGTACCTCTGGATTTTTTATACCGGTTTTGCACGAATCAAATGGACCATTCAGCTGGGAAAGTGGTCCGGCCATGGCCGGACCAGCCTGACCGGTTCCGCCGGCCCTGTATCCGTATCAAAAAACCGAAATCAGGACAAACTCAGTGACCTGCACCACCACGACTGGTTACGCAACTTTTCACCGTACCTAGTACCTGTGGCTTACCATGCCGTCGGAAATGACGTACTGCACGAATTACGCTCCCACAGGAACCATCCCGAGTCTTATCCCGAGTTGCACACTCTGGTTTATGTACTCTTGATACTACAGGTAGTACTAGAGTACAACTTGCACCACAGCCGGCTGACAAACAGGGGGAAAGAACACACGCAAAAGACAGGACAACGCATGCCAAGATCATTACCTTCGGTAATTGCCAGGCACGACGATCTTCTTTGAAGCGACTGCCTTCATGACGCGGCTCAGCACCTCGTAAATAGGCCCATTCATCTGCTGAGTCAGCTTACCCTGGTACTGCTTCTCCAGCTTTTCTCTACAAAACGTAGAAAGAAAAAAGGACATACGGAAACGATTTAAGAGTAACTCTCCACCACTGTAACTAGATACTATCTATATACAGTCAGAAAGTGCAACAACTAGGGACAAAACTGACAGAGTACTGAGACATTCGACGCCCTGACACCTAGCTTCAACATCCTTTTCCTTTCTACATTTATTATTGGCTCAATACCCGAGTCTCTACAAAACGCATGAAAACACGCATGTACAAACACAAACACAGACACAGTGTCATATTGAGTCCTGTTGCTTGCTCCGTATCCAGGACGTAAAACAAGCTCTGTCAAAACGTCTCCAGCTGGCTGACAGGTGGGACGAAGAAGCCCCCATGCCGACATGTGCACGACATCCATGCCGCTACTACACACACATAGACCAAACACACACACACACATACACGCACAAAAGGACGCGATCACATAAGCACGTGCACACACACATACACACACACCAACATGCACACACACACACACCATTTGGACCATTTGACGCCCATCGCCGGAGGCGATGATAGTGATGCTACAGCAGAAGCCATAGCAGATTGTGCTGGGATTGCACCATTCAACATCTTGCAAGGCTGAAGTCTACACCACAGCTATGAAGTGGCTTTTTCTGGCCAGTGAATCACACACACACACACACACACACACACACACACACACACACACACACACACACACACACACACACACACACACACACACCACCACCACCACCACCACCACCACCACCACCACCTCCGCCGCGATACTAGAGACCGTCAAAGCATGCACGGCACGAAGCCGTGCGTTGAACCATTCAGGCACGTGGTGCGGGTGATGCGCGATGCGTGATGCAGCCGGAATCGTAATCGCTTCGTGATCACCCATATTGGGGCTGCTCCAATCGTGCTCACGAAACGATTCGAGTTTCCCGTGTGCCGGCCTCGTTCCCAGTTTGTCCCAATCGTCGCGCCCGACGGTTTGGTAATGGTCTCTACTCATGATCACACGAAATACACGTGCCTAATAGTTCACTGCCAATGTATCACTGTACAAGTGCACTAACATTACACTAGTAGACGTGTTGCAGTGGCAGTGGCAGTGGCAGTGCAGTGCAGTCAGGGTAGAGTAAACCAGCACTAGTACTAGTAGTATGCTCTGTGTACTTGTTGCCGTGCATCGTGATTGGCGTACAAGCTCATGCCCACAAAGACACGCATCTGATGCCCCTTTTCAATCAGATAAGCCCATGGGCCTGTACGCGGAATTCTTCGGTACCGTAGAATCCCGCGTATAAGCCAACCCGCGTATAAGCCCATGCTCATGCATAAGCCCACCGAAATGTCCTTGTGAAACAGATAAGCCCATGGGCTTGTCCGCGGAATTATTCGGTATTCTATATGGAGTGGCACCACGTGCACTGGTTTGCCACTAAATACAACGTATCTACAATGTTGTCATTAAACATGACCTCTGTGTGAAACAGAAGTATGGCGGTACTAACAGCAATTGACGGTACACAACAAAAGCAATGCCACGTTGCACGCATGATAAGAACAGGCACACCGGCAGACTCACTCTGACAGCGCCACCTCTGCTTCCATCGACTCTTCTTTGTTGAGGATGAGAATCAGAATAGGGTAGCGCGTCTGGCCCTGCCTCATGGGAGGGTCCATAGCCACCTAGGAAAGAAACACGCATGCACACACACAACAGTGGGAGGAGGAGATATTAGCGAACGACCGAGACAAATACGGATCACAGTCATGCCTTAGTGCAAACGCTGCAGTACTACCTGGAGCAAGTGTCACTTTCCTAGATCCTGTTGGCTGATAAAAATTAATATTGGTACACGAGAGCAGTATGTTTTGCATGTAGCATGTATCTGCTGATGGATGGCCAAATGCCTATAAATGGCCCGTGCATATTGTTCTACGGAGCCATGGTCTACATGCACACATAAACGTCGTGCGTACAACCAGGGTGTTGTGGTCCTGGCCTACACGAGTCCCTGATTAGAATGCAGAAACCGGCAGGAGAGCTGTTCCGTGGTCCACCTTCCACACACCCGACATAAGAACATACTAAATATTCCAACACTACAATTCATGCCAATGGGAAGGATAAGCAGCCGCCAAAAGTACAGCGTAGCAAAGAGGTCACAATGTGTGGTAGTCAGCCATTCGAAAAGTCCATTACTAAAGATAAATACCTCCTACTTCAGTAACTATAATAGTATGTTGGTAGCAAGAGTCCATGGGGTTATGAACTCTTGTTGGTACTTGGTGTACTGTACGGCTGCACTACTGCACATAATTCTACATGACTGTTCTCTAGTCTTGATAGTTGCAATTCCTACTGTACTGATGAGACAATGAACTCAAATACATGTAAATACATTACATTTTGCAAAATACAAAATACAGTGTAGTCTGTATCACTGTATGCATACCATTCTGGCCACACAAGTCACCTAGCGGCAACAGCTACGAAACTAGATGTATAGCACATCGGCCACACTGCTTTTTCTATAAGTAATTAAGTATATCCAGCAAAGCTAACAGTGTAATGTTTCAAGCTACATGGTTCAAGTGATCACTGTCCTCCGATCTGCCACTCTCAGCTGGCTGTGTTTTGGGCAGTGGTGATCCTCACTGCTGCGGGCTGGTAGCATGCTCACCGAAGAAGTGCCTCAAAAAAATCATTTGGCAGGAGTTCTTTGTGGTTTGTGAGCGGTGGCGGAACGGAAATATGTTTTAGATTACCACCCACCCAAATGCGGTCCATGGACATCATATCGGGTGAAGACAAGATGCATCGGATGCCATCTCCTGTTATCTGGTTTTTCACCAACGACACCATCTTCAATGAGCTGGTCGTCCGCTTCATGTCAACTAGCTTTTTCACTGTGTTGTCACCCAGCTTGTTGCGATCCAGGAACAAAACTTGCAGATTCTCGTGACCAGTCAGGGCTGTGAGTAGATCCACTGCGATGGCATCCGTCATTCCTGTGTCGCCCATGCTAACAAACCGGAGGTCACAGCAAAGCGGCAACGATGACATGAATGTCATGTAGGAGTCCACATCAGTCACTCCATCCTTGAAGACAGGATTCTTATTCAACGACAGCCACTGCAATTTACCTTGCGTAGATGAAGCCACTATTGCCGCCGCTCCACTAATGCTTATACTATTCCTATTGAATTGTAGCATGTGTAAAGTTGAGTTGAACTGGAGTCCCTGCCTTGCCAATGCCTGGACACCGTCATCTTTAATAGCACTGTCAGCCAGGTTAAGTTTCCTGATACTGCTGTCACCGGCAATGAATTTTCCAAGGCTCTCCATAGTTAAGTTTGATACTTCGGCCTTGAGGTTGCCTCCATATTGCGCAACGATGTCCTTCACATCCCTCTGGCAAGTACGCCCAGAAGTGATAGACCAATCGGCTATAACTATTTCATCATCGCCGCAGTGTCCAGCCTTCTCCAGTGCCTTCAGCAGAGACGCGTCCACATCATTTCCAGTAAGATTCATGCAGCATGGTTGCTGCAATTTGTTGGGCCGTGCCTGTGCCTTGTCTGCTGATGCGGTGTTGGTGTGAACACGCCTTGCCTTCAAGAAGTTATCTATATACGAAGCAATGCCATTGGTGAGTAGGTTACTCCCAAGGTGGATATCCTCTATACTATGATTGTGCTGTAGGGCTGACAGTATACAGGCGGCGTCTTCGTCCTTGAGGTCATTGTAGGCCAGACTCAGGATAGTCAAATTTGGCATGGACAGTATCAGTGACGAAAGGGCTGTACCACATCCCGTGAACAAACCAATCTCCTCCGCACACAAGTTAGACATGCTCAGGAAAGGTGTTGTAATTTTTGTTTGGAGTAGTTCCAGCGAAGCGTTTCCCAAGTCATTGCTCAATATTTGTATAGCGCGGAGATGGGGCAAGCGAAGCAGCTTAGACAAGGACCCCGCGTCTTGCTCCGTTAAACATGCGCCTGAAATGTTCAGTTTTGCAATGGTGCAATCACGCTGCATATGTTGAGAATGGGATAGCGCTGCAGCGAAAACTTCCAGCGACGCTCCGCTCAGGTTGTTCCCGCTAAGGTTCACATAAGCGCATTGTCTCAGGTAAGGCGCTATCTCCGTGATCTGATCTCTAGAGAGGTTGCAGTTACTGATGTCTACAAGGTGTACTCGCTCAGACAGTCTCAACACATTGCACAAAGCTGATATGTCACTATCGTTCAGATGTATGCCTGACAAGTTAACTCGATGTGATGTTTGCAGTAGTATTACGGCGGAGCGGACGAGATCTTTACACTGATCGTCTCTGAAAGACAAGACGGGAGAGCTGTTGTATGAAAGACTGCACTCCAGTAAACACGACATCAAGAACAAGATGAAGCGGCGTTGCTGGAGCACTGACTTGCGTGTTGATTCAGCCAGCATGACTTTAAACAAGTCAGGCAGGAGCTTAGTGTGAATAGAACCCGCAACAAAACGCCAGAATGGCTGCGTTTCCTCACCCAGGCCAATTTCCGAGACGTATTGTGAAATATTCGAGACGAAGAAGGACTGCTGCGTTGCGAAACTACGTGCTGCACAGAACTCTTGTATGGTAAGGTGAAGAAAGGCAACACGTCGCCCAGCACTGTCACTGGCTGATGACTGGTTGTCCACAGGGACGAGGAATCCTAGTTGCTTACACAGTGTCAAACAGTCATCCGGCATATCTGAGGATGAAAACCAGGCGCGGCCCAAAAGTAAGCGTTCCATGGACAAACGATACAGATGGCACAATGCTTGCACCAACTCTGCGCCATCACATAGGGAACCAGCAGGCTCTTGCTGAACGTGATGCTCCAGGCCGTTGGTAATGACATCATGCACTGATAATTGATCTCCGGCCTGGAATCCCCCACTGTACGTATGACCACTGGTTGGAGTCTGGCTGAGTGTCACTTTGCTGAACTGTTTTCCCCGCTTCCTCTCCAGCTCTGCAACAGCTGAACACATGAACTGCACGTAGAATGATGTCGTACACGGCGGTACAGCCTCGGATACGGCAAACTCTTGGCAAAGGAGAGCGGCCAGCAGTGGTGTAGTCTGCACGGCATGCTTCAGGTGCTTGCGAGATGCCTGCGCTAACTCAGCCAAGCACTTTTCAGCACTCTCCGCGCCACCCAACTGTTGGCAGCAGAAGTCCCGTAATTGTGCATCAGTGAAGCCAGTCAGCCGGTAGTAGGCTGCACATTGTCGTACCAGATCAGTGGCCTTGTTGCAGGGCCGGCTAGTGACAACCACGGACGCATTCACCAGCCGATTTTTCTTAGTCTCGTCCATGAATTGGCAGGCTGCTGATGTGTACTGGAATGCATCCTTCCCGCCTTCATCCACGCCATCTAGAAGCAGGAGAACACGTTCAGAGTTCGCTGACAAATATCGCAAAACCTCTTCTCGCTCGTCCGAAGTTATGTCCAGGGCGTGGTGATCCAACCCCAGAAACTCTGTCCACTCACTGGTGCTAACACGGTCCGTATCTCGGCACGAGATTGGAATGACAAAGTCAAAGTGCTCTTGCATTAGACCAGATGCTTCATCGCCTGAATAGTCGGCCATCACACGTCGACATGCCATTGTCTTGCCTTTACCAGCACCAGACATCAACATGCAACGCTTCAACAACTTCACTTTCTGGCCAGACGACGGCGCACCTCTGCTATTACTACTTGCACTGCGCGTCGGTTGTACGTCGGATTTGGGATCTTTCATCAGTAGCTGCAATGGATTGTGGAGTTCAAAACTGCATTTGCTGTCATCCGCAAGGTCGGCAAGGAATTCTGATGCTGAGGGACCGGGCTGTGCTCTGTTGCCCTTGCTTCGCTGAACAGACAGACGCAGTGCTTCGCGTTCAGTCATCGCCGTCATCGATACAAATGTGTCCTCCACACTTTCTTGTGTAGGTGCCATGCTTGCGTGCCGTGATTGCACTTCGCACTGCTTCTTCAAGTGTATTTTATAACGCTCAATGGGGCTTTTATCACCGTGGTATCTGCCTTTCAGAATCGCATTCTCTATCCAGGCCATTGCGTCAGTATATGGTATACGAGGCCGGGCTAGATCGCACTTACTAGCCGTTTCTTCACATTCCTCTGCTATGCAGCGCTCACGCTCTTTCTGCAGCATTTCGGCCATTGCTGGTTGCTGCACGGCCAGCACTGCCTTGCAGAACGCATCGAAAACGTTTTCCGACTGGAAACTATCGCTGGTCTTCTTGGCAACAAGTAGTCTGAGAATCTCGCTGACCTGCTGATACTGGGTCGAATGATGTTTGATTTCCACGTACTCACGAGTGCCTTCGAACACACCAGCATTGACCAGGTGATCGAAGACCAGCATAACATCGGCATGAAGAACGCGCTGCAGTTCCTTCTCGCGGAACTGAAGTGCCAGGATCTCGTACCACTGGAGGATTTCCTTGCGCACCTCCTCCATCTCGAAGCGTTTTCGCTTCTTTTGGCGCCACCTCTGCATCGTAGCCAACTGTGTGGGAGTTTGTGCAGTCAGGGCCGACTCACTTGGTAGCCAATCTAGTTCGATAAACTCACCAACACACTAATAAACAAGTAACCTGGTAACACTAGCAGTTGCAGTAGGGTCGGACAACAGTCCGGGTGGACATGCAGTGAACGTCGATCAGAACGATTTCAGACCACGGGCACGGACCCACTCCCCATACCCACCATACATCGCACACTCGGCGACCGATATCGCGATGCAAACAACAACTTGTAGTTGTAGCCGTGGCTTATGATCCACACGGACCATAGCCTAGGCATAGGCTTATGCCATAGGCATAGCGACAGGTAGAGTCTAGTTATACTGTACTGGTCATCTACTACTACTAGTACTAGCATGACTACTACAGTGTAGTACTAGTCATGCTAGTGCCAGTAGTCATGGTAGTGGTCCTAG